AGCTAGCGAGGCGTAGACGAACCCCGATTGGTGTTTGCGAATCGTCATTTACGCCGCAGCTAGTAGGTGAGGTGGCCACGTCGCTGTTTCCCATGCTTTTGCTGCTAGAATAAGTTCTTCAATTTCTTAAATTTTAGTTCTCAGTTATCCGGCTTTGCCATGTCACATTTTTTCAATATAATTGTACTTCTTCTAGAAAATGGGTTTTAAGGTCAAATACCTAGCTCTATAATGTAGATAAACAGTAAAGAACTAGCCGGTTATATCTTTTCAATGAAGAGTAATTTCAAAATATATGTTTTTTGGTAATTTCCATAGTGTAATTTCCATGGATAAAACACCATGGAAATTACGTATCACTCATGGAAATTACATATCACCCATGGAAATTACCTTGTTTCTTTTTGGTTGCAAAAAAACAAACGTTATGTTCAATGTTTGTTTTCAATGAAATGCACGCCATCGCCACATACAGACTTAAATGTTGAATGTTGGTTATTTTTTTAAATTAAATCGTCTAAAATATCATTTAAAACTTTGATCATCATCTTCAAATTCCAAAATCGTGATTAAACAGATTCAAGTTTAAAACATCTGTCTTTCGCTGTCGTCTGTTTGAAGTTAACAGGGTCACAAGGACATTTTTTACACCGGATTAAGTTAACATATTATATAATTAATTCATTTATTGTAAAAAATTACTATGATTAAACACTAAATTGGAACCTGTAGGGCCAATGGTTTTTTCAAAAACGATAGAGGTTTTGCGCTATTTCCATAACACGTTGTATATATTTTATTTTTTGAGAACATGAACGTGTTTACGTTTCGTTCCAATTTTTAGTAAGTACTATGGTATATCGTTTCAGTATAATGTAGGTAGATCTTAATACTACCCTAACTAATATGACAGCTTAATTTCATATATGACATGGTATTTAGCAAAATTTTATCTGCTGTGTAATTTCCATTGCCTTTATTGTAATTTCCATGGTCCGCCAATTTTCTACATTTTTTTTTAGCAAAAGTATAGATCTTAGTCGTGGCCAATTTTAATATGTTGTTTAAATTTGCAGAAGGTTTCGAAATATTTATATAATTCACCATAATTTTGCGATTTCAAAAATGCCCTGGAAATTACACGGAGAACACATTTCCCAAGAATCACCCAAATGCAAAAAATGGTTATCGTGGGTTATCCTTGGAAGATAGACATAGGTATGCCATTGTTTGTTTTGTTATAACTCAAAAGTTTTCGCAGCGTTTTCGAGGAAAGCTTCCGATCGGCTTTATTTTTTCCGACATATTGAACTAATATCGTTGTAATATCGTGATTTTGTTCATAACTTAAACTTACTATACACTAAAATCTTTGTCAAGAACGCTCTATATACCGCATGTAAATTCGTCCAGTACTTTCGAGTTTATCGTAAACAGACAGTCAGACAGACTGAAGCGGCGGGGGACTTTGTTTTATAATATGTAGTGATATACAGTTTTCGAGCGCGAATTCGCGTTGTCCTTTTTTTATTATTGATAATCTTTAAACGCCTCCACCGAAGGGATAATAATTAAGGATATTACAGGGATATATCTTTTATTCCACAAAGGATTTGTTCTTTTGATACGTGTGATAGTACCTAGCGCCGTCGTAGGCCAGTAGCAGCGCAACGGGGGGCGCGGCGGCGATGCGTCTCGCCTCTGAGGCGCTGCCCAACCGACGCTCGTATGCCACGCGCCAAGCTTCCACTGCCTGAAGGTAAAATATTTATATAAAACTTTTAATGCCAGAAAAAACGCATAAGATTTTCCAAAATAATCTAATTTAAAAGAGGTACCTGTGCCGTTACATTATCATCGAGCGCATACAGTTGCAGTGTCGTGATGTTAGCGCCGCCATGGCTGCGGAATCGATACAATAAATAGCTTAATTAGGAATTTTAGAAAAATAAGGAAAAAAGGCGTCGCATGCAAGAAACTAAGACTAGCTCGTGATGCACTGTCCAGGCGTATGACAGTGCGCAGTAGATGACGGCAGACCTGAAGTCGGCGAGGGGCACGGTGTGCAGGTCCAGCGTGGCCAGCACGTACGAGTGCCGCGCGGCCAGCAGCCCCACGCGCTGCGCCGCGTCCAGCACGCGCGCGCAGCACTCCGCACCACACCACACTATGAAGTTCGCCACTCCAGACTTTTTCAGCACTAGCAGCAAGTTCCTGAATGATATTTGTTCCCTTCGTTTACGATAACTTTAAACGACGACTCATTTAACAATATAGGCTATTGAATAAATTGCAATTTCGACAATAATTCTGATTTTCATTCCAGTCGTCAATTTTCTGATGGTCGGTTTCTGAATTGAGAAAAGTATAAAATCTTAATTGACTCTCGATAACTTAAGTTTTTTACGTTTCACGAGTCAAAAAGGCCGAGTTTCATCGAACTACTATCGACTGATCACTAAAAAACTAAAATCAGATATCAAAACCTACTCAAGTGCAGTTTGGGTTGTTCTTGCTTTTAAATTCTTGCATTTTAGAAACCTGGAGTAAACATTCTTAAATATAACGAGGTTCTCGGTAGATAGAGAACGGGATAGCTTACCTTAGCAGTGCGTCGTCGTCGGGCGGTGGCAGACGACGCGGCAACAGCTTCAGAGCGTCGGCGTCGGGCGAGAGCAGCGCGACGCCGCGGGCGCTGCCCTCGTGCAGCAGCGCCGCGCTGCGCCAACCTTTCGCTTCGCACAGGTCCACTACTGCCTGTGTTATATCTTCTTTAAGTAAATAGATATTTTGGATTTTATACTCCTATTAAGTGACGTGTAACCGGAATGGCGCATCGGCGATGGAAGATGAGACTTCATATTTGGCGGATGTATTTTTTGCTTCCATTTTCGATGCTTCATAAAATCGAAAATGAAAGTGAAAATGAATTTTCTGTTAGATAATAATAAATGTTAGCTTTAAACCTGTGCAATGACGTCATCGTGTGGATAGAGCGCGAGTGCCTCCCAGGCGGCGGTGGCGGCGGGCGTGGGTCCCAGCAGCAGCAGCGGCAGGCCGGCGCGGGCCGCCGCCGCCGCGCCCAGCGCTGCCGACCGCGTGTCCCCCCCGCACACCGCCGCCGCAGCTTCCTACACACATAACACTAGTTCACACTTTGTACTGTACGTGAACAGGTCAGTTTTCTTAAAGCTATTATTGCTCTTGTGTTGTGCTTTTTAGGGATCTGTAGGTACATAACGGTGAAACAGCACATTATTACTAAGACTCCGTCGTGTCCGAAGACGTTTTTGTTTCGATGACTAAACTTCATAAAAAGAAAAGAAGTAATTGATTGTAAGAAAGAGTAGTAATTGATTGTATATATTTTTAAAAGTACACAAAAAATAATGTATTCAACTGTAAAACAGGTGTACGGTGTGCGTGTGACGCGTGTATTAGACTCACGTCGGCAGCCTGCGCGCACACGTGCGCCTGCGCGGCGAGCGGCTCGTCCGGCTCGACGGGCGCCACCAGCGCCGCGCCCGCGTCCAGCGCCGCCTCCAGCGCGGCCGCCAGCTGCAGCGCGCGGCCCGGCGCCGGCTCCACCACGCCTGACATCACACCGACACTCACATACGTGCACACATCCCTTTCCTCACCCTTATTGTTTCAAAACACTATAATATTCTGTGAATTTTTAAACCTTTTATATCTAGTATACAAGTGTATAGCTTAAATTGTATTGTGACCAAATACACAACTAAATCAAACAGTGTTTTTACCTATGAACATATTTGTGTGGTGGTGCAAGATCATGTAGAAGGCCTGCTCTTTTACCTCTTTTGCCCGCGCTATGTCGTTTTAAAAACTGAGTTGTAAGATAAAAAAGCGATAATTTTACTGGTGCAGATTACTACATTACCTGCTGCAAGTCAATTAAGACCGATAAACAGAAAATTAAATAACCGCATGTTAGTTTTATATGTAGGCACAATAACACGCCTAGTATTGAAACACGGGTTTCTATAAAATTATCATCTCTCTGTAGTTATACACAGTATAGAACAAATTCGCTTCCCGCTGTCTGTGTCATTTAAGCGGTTTTCATCGGTTAGTGCGTTCCCGAAAAGTAAATGGAACGTCGAAGTATTTACCGCGATCGTCTGTATGAATCATAAAATAGATCGCGGCAAATATTGTACTCTAACAGTGTTATTAATAAACAAGGTTTAGCGTTGGAATAAATTCACGCTGAGACTGCACTTAGTATTAGTCTAAATTCATATTATTAAACAGAGATTTAGCAAAGGTTAACCTAGTACGAGGTTAATATTTACTCTTAGAAGGTAGAAGGTTTGCTTATTGCCTGTATAATATGATATTCTTACTAATACTGAAATTGCAACTTTAGCGTAAATTTACTCTGACGCTAAACCTTGTTTATTAATAACACTGTAAGATTCTACTGACACAGTATCAAAACGTCAATACTGACCGATGCGTAGGCCGTGTGCAGCAGTCGCTTGTACCAGAAACAACACTAGCACGTGTGGCGACATCGTGCCGCCTGCGCCGCGCGACGACTGCCCGCCGCCACCGCCCCCGCCCCCGCCCCCGCCTTCGTCTGCTGCCGCCCGTCTAATATTATTTCAGAAACAGGGACACGTCGCGGTGCCGAGACGCGCATCGCATAGCGTCACAGTTTCTACGCTACATGTCCTAAGATCATTTGGTAGCGACTGGAATCTTTTGTTGGAACCAAATGTCTTAAACACAAAAGAAATTTTATGTGGAGGCTTCAGTAAGACAAATTGTTTAATATTATTACTGACATTGAGTTAGGTAGGTAATTATAATTTTGATACAAGATAGATAACTCATGATTGACATAAATATTTGCTATTTACATAGTACATATTTGCAATTAATGCAAAGTACCTAGGAAATTATACGATAGCTATATTGGCATCGAAAGGAATTCGAAACTCCATTGGGTTTTTAATATGACTTTCTAATTATTATATAAGGTTGTCATCCAATAAATTTTTTTGATCTGGAATGGTTTTCCTGATATTTTCGTGCACCGGCGAGGGTAGAGCGTGGCGATGATGAAGAAGGACGATGAGAACATCCGCCAGCTCATAGTCTGCACTGGGGGTGGGGGAGGGCGAGGCGGCAGCGGGGGCGGGGAGTCGAGTGACGCGCGCGCACACGCCCGCTGCCTCACACACACCGCCAATCACTTTTTTCTCCACTTTTCCGCAAGTACTACGTTCGCTTTTATGTGCGCCCTCGCACTCTGCATTGCTGTCCACCGCGACTTGGCAAGATTCGTCCCGGCTCTCAACTGTATTTTAAACAAACTCGATCAGCCGCCGTTAGCATAGAATAGAAACAGAACGCAATCACATATAGGTAGGTATAGGTACTTCGCTTTCATACAGTGATGCTATCTCTGAGGACCTGTAATTACTGTGATGCTATCTTTGAGGAACTCTCTGTTTTTAGTTAATTTGTTATTTTGAAATTTTAGCAGTTGGTCATCCATGTAAGTTGAGAGTTGAGTTGAGTTTATTGTTGAGAACAAACACAGATCGTAATAACATGGAGAGCGATATACTGCGAGTATAGCAAGATCACCAATACTACAAACTAAATATACTCCATTCATTATAGCATTAGACAGAAGTTAAATAAGGTACTTTTTATGGTATACTTTGTGACAAAATATCAATAATAATGTTACTCTTAAGACTGACGGCCTTATTTGCTACATATCCACTTAAATACCAGCTGCTATACTTAACCGTTGTCGTTTAAGCTATCTATTAAACAAATTTATGAGTATTTAACTAACTTAAATGATTTAATAACTATTACAATAAAATGTGTTCATCTTAAAGAACCTATAGAAGCAAGTTTGGATAGTTTCGGCACGACGCTCATGTCACTATAACTCTGCCAAATTTAAATATTACCTAATCCCTTCAAACGTTTCGGCAGTACAGTCTTTTTTTGGATTATGTCAGACAATTTGTCAGATAATGATCTTAAATCTAAAATTAAAACAATATAACTGACACACGGTATCTGAATTGAGAATTTAAAGTTAAGAACGTTTCAAACTGTACTAAAACGTCACTTTAGCAGATTTGCGTTGCTGATTTAAGTTTTCTCAAAACATAATCAATATTGAATTTTAAGTATTTGAATGACTAGCGTGCTGAGCGCATGCTTTTAAGAACGTACTGTTTCACAACTAAGAAAAACTCTCTTGAAAGTTCTCAAACTGTTTAATAACGTGCAAATTGGGCTACATAAAACATTCTCAACATTCTTATCAATACTTATTTTGTTGGATGAAATATAACTTTATTTTGTGACGATATCAACTTGTCTGCTGTATCTACAAATTCTTGACAACGAAAAATGAGCGATGTTGACATGTGTATTTCATCATTGTAAAATTTTTACTTAATAAAAGCGAGGAGCTCGATAGCACAGTTCCTAGCGCGCTTGGTCTGTGAATCGCAGAAAATTGTGAAATGAGTAATAATAACAGGTGAGCATGATTCGTGTATGCAAGTATCGCTTACTCTTTAAGGTAGAGTCGAAAATCGTTTATTTCATTAAAACACGGGTGGATTAAGTATTAAGAAATATATAACAGGTGCGGCCTAGTATTGAAAAATACCTAGTAGATGGATCTGTTCTAGTAAACACGCCTCACCTCTATCTGCGATACGGTTTTGCAGAAGAACTATCACTTGGATCCGCTACGTTTGTCGAATTTTCATTATCAATCTTGGTCAATTCGGGTTTTTTAAAAATTATCTGGTATCTATCTTTAATTATAAAGATATGCGTTGAATTCCGAGGCAACAATAGTGAAAAATATGTTTATATAAAAATACAATAACATCAGAAGCAGTCTTGAACCGGTTTAGCGAAAAACACAGAAAACTTAAAATTGTTTGAATACAATTTTTTCTTATTTCAAGATATGGAGTGGACAAATTTACATATTTTTGGTTGCTCTGTTTTTTGGTTTGTAATAAATAAATACATTATACCTAGTAATAATATACTATCTATTTGATTTACCTTGTTGTTGGTAATTTAAATGAGGAGCTCATGTCGGTGTATACGCAGCTATATTGCGTCGCTGTGCGTTCACAAATCGCTATTTGTATTGGAGCTACTTTTCAGGAACAACAAATAACTAGTTTACTCTGGATATATTCGATATAAGTTAAATTATTTTTGTCTGATAAATTTAATAATTTATTAACATAGTTTAAGACCGTTCTCATTAAAATAACATGTAAAGTAAGTTTTCTAAATAACTAAATGTTTTAAATTTACACATAGCATTAATTTAATGTATCATAAATAATCGTCATGTGCCTGAAGAACACATAGCTACTATTAAATGACCCGGAATTATTATAACTTGCCCTATCTTATAGCACATGGCTATTTAATAAAACTAACTTGTTTAGTTGTACAAAACGTTTATTAAGTAATTGAGGGATACAAATGAAAAATTATAAATAGAACATAATTTTTTTAAATAAATTATGTTCTAAATAACAAAAACAATACAAAACAAAACAAACATTAGTCTTAATATCAGTCAAACCTAATTATTTTACGTACCTATTACAATTTTTGTACTTTTGATTTCTGAATAAGATCAATTAACTTAACGAGATAGATTAATTCCTTGATAATTATCAAAGAATGGGTGGTAATCACGAAGCATGCAACGATGTTTAAGGCTTTGTAAATGTTTATATTAAGTGGTATCGATTTTCAATGGACCGTTGTACAGCCCTGCTGGTTCCGTGATAAGCGATGTGTTTATTCGTCTTCGTGGCAAAGTGTCCCCAGTCATCGGAATGACGTAATATATATTGCACTTCACCATTGACATAAATAAGTCCTCTTAAATCTGTCACAGTTGCATCACCAGCTCTTCTACCATGGCTTATAGTAGAAAAATTCTGTTCTTTCAAAATCTCTGTAATTTTTTTTCCTGGCACCAGGCCATATAAATAAAGTGCATGTGAGTAAAAGATTCGAATGATTCTTTAATTGTTGTCCTGGTACTATTTGCTCGACAATAATGACTTGGTACTTTTGATATATCATAAAGCCACTTTTTCACAGACTCTGACTTAAGATTTGTGTTTGTAAAATGATTAGCAACTGTATCGATTTTTCGGACAATATTATTTTCAACATTCTCTCTTAAATCTATGTTGGATCGAATCCATAGCTGTAATACATCTTTCTTTAAACAAGCGTTGCAAGAAAAAGTTCTTTACAAACACGTACCTTCACACCATTAATGCTAGGCAAATAGCTATCAAATTCTAAATTTTTTTTTTGCTTCGTTAGATGTTTTTCGTCGGCGTATGATGTTTCGAGCCTGGCAGTCTTACTTAAATGGAATCACCATTCTAAGTAAGACTTTTTTGCTTGCCATGAGGGTAATTGCCAAAAGTATCGAAAAATATCGGTCTGTGTTTCTTCATTAATAGCAGCACAAGTATAGCTTCTGTCCGTTTTTTTAGCAGCTCCGTGTCCATAAGGTTTTAACTCTCATTAGTCTACCTACACTTCTTCTATTACTGTATTCTCGTCAACTTTCGTAACTTTATGACCTGAATAATTCTTCCCTACCTCACTTATTGATTTTTCTTTCTCTTTCTTTGTTCCTCCAGAACCACGACATCTTCCTGAATGGTACTATTATTGTTTTCAATTTCAACTTTTGCAGGCGCAGCGACGATTGGTGACTTCAACTACATAGTTTTGGTTACGACACAAATAAAGGAAAGTGTAATAGTACAGGATAAGTGCAATTCTTAGATGATGCCTACTGACAGTAAATGCATTAGCAGGAACCAGTAGATTAAGTAAATAAGGCATATTTGATACTGTAATCAAATAAATAAAACAATCACATACTTTTATTAGTAATCAAGACTTACATTGTTTTATTATAATATTGATTACAAAATAACAAAATATTCCATGCCAATTTCCCCGTGCATGAAAATATGAGTGTTTATATCTATTCATGAATTTTTGGGAATCCTCGACCACCGTCTTTTCTATGTGCTGGGGTCGGGAATTTTTTCGAAGCCCGATAAGAGTAGCTACTGCCTTCTAGCAGAATCTTTGCGTTTTATTACAAAGTGGTTAACAAAAACATTTGCAAAGTGTGGGTAATTTTGGTGTTAAATTACCACTTACAAACATTTAAACTTAGGAATGAAACAGAAAACGGGGGGGTATCAGTGTTAAAACAACAAATCTACTGATAAAACAGTAGGGTCGGTAACACCGGTGACCATCTTGCCTAGGCCGGCCGATTCATGGCTGGGACCATGCCCCCCTCCTAGGAAGAATCCCTAGCTGCGCCAATGATCCCAACCAACATTTGGACAGTATAATAGAATCTAACTCTATTTTAGTTGCTACCAACTTGGCTAGAAAATTATCAAAATTTTTATTTATACTCGTACGATTGACGTGCATAATATTTATTATTTGTATAGTACTCTATACAGGTTTCAGGTGCACAGCAGTAGGATTGTACAGATCTTATGCCGTCGATATCAACTATTATATTACTAAGTAAGTCATTTTTATTTAAAGCAACATAGTAGTGTTTATTTATCATCTTAAGAGGCAACATAAAACCACGAATATTATGAATTATTTTGTAAGATTTTATACCTTCTGCCTGACGAGAACCACAGGAGAAAGGAGACCGAGACAATATTTATAAGAAAAACAAGTTTAAACTGTAACATATATATCGCTCACTGAATACTACAGTGGCACAACTCAAAAACCATTATTTCGAGAAAACGCCACAATATTGTGGTGCCATTCCATTGATAATTTAAAGAAAAAATAAAAAACTTAACAGTAATAATATATTACAAACAATTTAACTGTTATGCTAAAAAAATGATTTTCATAATTACAAATTGTTAAATCTGCTTTTTTAAATGACATAATATATGTCATTTACCCATATAATATGTTGTAATAGATGGCGTACCTTTGACTTTTTGAATCGCGGTGTTATGATTGTTTGTCAAAGACATATATAGTTTTTCTAATGTAAATAAATATGGTTTTTGAGTTGTGCCACTGTAGTATTCAGTGAGCGATATAATATATACTTATAGAAATAGTGATGTGATAGGCATGTGTTACAATGTTTTTGTTTAAATGTGAACAAAACAAGCGAAATGATGTTTCATATAGAATATTTAAGAATTTATAATATAATGAAATTACCATAGTTACCAATTTAGGTTGTTTATATGTAGAGGGAATTTTTATAGTTGGTTGGAAATAAAAAAGTGTAAATAGTAGTATTTTATGGGTGTTGAATATGTGTTCGCAGTTCGTGTATTGTTTGACAGTGTGAAAGTTTATTTCTTGTATCTGTTATATAAAATAAAAAAGAAAGTTTACCAGTCTACAGAAAAGTAAAAGCTTAGACAGACATTTCTCAGTCTTAATATGTAAATATATTGTGTTCGAATCTTTGCGGAGCAGCACCCTGCCTCTAGAAATTCAGTATTTTTTTTTATTATATTTTTTTATTTATTTATAACAAATAATACAGATGGTTACTTTCGGTTTGTGTAAATTGCGTCCTGTTTCTAGTCTGTGCCAAATGTTTCTATGCTATACGAATTATTTCATCACCTGTACGTTTTCTTGATGCATTCGGCGATCTACCGCGTGCATCGGAGCCCGGACGATACTTGCCGAGGTGACATCGGATTGAGGTAGCCGTGAGAAAGTGTGCTCGCGTGTTCCTCTCGGGTCTACACACGCACACCCACACCCGGGGCCCGAGTGATAGCGCCACGCACGCGCCCGCCGACAGTGACACGCATGCGCACAGTGTAGCAGTGCGCGCTTCAGTCGCCGCGTACAGCGGGAAGAATGCAACCCAGGTGACGCAGGTGGCGTATGCGGCGGCGCCGACAAACTTTGTCTCGTTAAAGTTGTGCGGTAAACGACGCGTCTTTATCGCGAGTGCGACGCAGGACGCCAACAGCGCGAGGGCCGGCGCCAGGGGCACTAATTGCGCCACCGCCGACTCCCCGCCGCAGACGAGTACAGACCGCGCGCGACCCGGGTGAAGTAGAAGGGGTGTGGGAGGCCAGTGAAATGCACTCCACACCGCCGTCGCGACGCCGGGGCCGATCAATACCACCCACGTCCACACCTTCATTACACAAAATCAAACGCAGTATATGTCATCGACGATTAGGTATGATCCGGTATGAAACAGTTAAATATAAATAGAAGGGTGTGCACCTGCGCACGCGATGATAACAGCCTCGGACGCGCTGCCGGCCTTCGCTCCGCCGCTTCTACTAATCGGGCGACGCGCACGGTGCGCGCCAGTACTGCCGCATACACACCAGCTAGCGCGGGGGCCGCGAGTCGCACAACCGCGCATGCGCCCATCGCCGGCCGCGCCGCCGCCGCCAGAGCTGCGCAATGGCACACACCCGCCGCACACAGTAGCAGAGTGCAAAGTTCCCGCGATGCCGATTTCACCACGGGAGTGGTCCGGTACTTCCATAACGTCGCAGCGCATATAACCACCGCCATCGAGCCGACCCCTCCCGCCGCTATGGCCACGGAGCGCACCCACCGCCCGCCGCCGCCCCATTCGATTGCAGACGGTATACATTCTGCGATAATCGTTTAAATGGTAACTATTGTCGATTTGAGATTCAGTGATTTTACGAATCATTGGCCATCGTTTCGAACGGCACTGTTATTCTGTTATAAAAACGAGCGTCGAACTCGAGGTCCAGCATAGCGCTGTTTTAGCGAAGATATTCAGTCAAATAGAACCCACTTAAAAAGGTTTTATCTTATTGAAACTCTACACAGTACTGCCATAGCGCTGTGCTTAACGTCGAGTTCGAGGATATTTCAAACACAAAAGCATAGCAATTATCCTCGATGCTACTCAGGGGCAGCCACGGGTATCGGGATGGTTCAACTGGACTACCCGGATATAGGGTGAACTATCATCGACGGTCCTAGTGCATCAGATACTAATAAAAGTAGTAAGAGTGTCACCGTGGCGTAGCGCATCAGGGCGATGTCCCGGCGGGCAGAGCGCGCAGCCGGCGGGCGGGGGCGCGGTGACGGCGAGCGGCGCGCACGCCACGCACGTCCAGCAGCACCGCGCGCGCTCCCCCCCGCTGCGACGCGCCCACTCGCCCACGCCGCACGGCTCCGAACAAGCCGCGCGCACCTCCACTGACCGCCTATGATGTAATTCAATCCATACTTAATTCACTTCCCTCACCGGCGGCATGCAAGATTTCGTAATTTAATAATTTTCTTTCACGTTTATTGCACTATTTCGTTTATTTTTCATGTATCTTTCGGATATTTCATGTTTCTTTTATTTTTTAGCAATTCAAATTAAAGTATATCGTGCCGTGAGCGATACTGACCTGGCTGCTGCAGCGTGGCCGCCGCGCAGACGCAACTTGCCGTTCCGCCACCGACCCACGCGTATATATCGCCATCCGCCTGCGCCGTCCGCTACCAGATTCATCACGTCGTACTCACTTAGCCTGTACACAATGCTTAGTACCTATAGTATTGCGTTTCTCATAATATGTAGTCATTAAAGACGTATTAAAGTTCAGGATGCTCGAGTTCTACGATAGTCCCTTATAGTCAAACAAAAAAAAAACATTTTTTGCGAATGATATAATATTGACGACCACTAAAATTGCTACCCGATGTGTTTTGCTCTCGCTAGATTCGGGGCTGAACAACTAAGCTGTAAGTGCGCTTCTACATACATCACGTTTTTTTACAATGCAATATTAAAGTTTTATCATGATATGTAAACACGGGGTCGTTGGTGTAACAGCCTGGGAGAATTTACAGTTGTTTATCGCTACTAAGCAGATTTAAATTCTCCATCTATACTCCAATTCCTATTCAAATTATACAGATACTGCATGATTGTTTCCAAATTGCGCACATCTGATTGTGTAACATATCAGGCAGACTTACTCAGGAGGTGGATCTCCATTGATATCGAAAGCGACGAGACCACCATCGGGTGCGCGGAATCGTACACGAGCGATGTATCGACGGTACAAAGACACGTTCAGTGGCAGCATTGCGGCGCACAGCCCCCCACCACCCTCCCCGCAGGTGGCAGAGCGCATGTCGTGTAGCGCATGTGCTAGAGCGTACACGCCGCGTACCACCAGCGCCAGTTTGGGCTCCTGTGTATACCCCACTGCCAAGGACTCGGAGCCTATAATCAAACCATTGCAGGTTCAGAGTCTCTGGCAAAGTCGATTATATACTTTTATGTAAAAATTTACATATAAATATAAAACAATTCACCTGAACATCTTCCTTTTCCAGAAGGCGCCTCTTCTAAGGAGCAGTTAAATTTTTGTTCCCAAAACTCCTGAAAATTTTTTTTTGTCCTCAATTCACAGCCAAAGTACATTTTAATAATTCGATCCAACTTATGAAATATCGTGAAATCAAATAACCTATCGTAGACATTCAGTTCATGGCATCTTTCAGATTACATTTAAGTTCAACATAATCCATATCAATAAGGCCGAGTGATCAATAGGGCATAAGTTATAACGGAATATGACAAATCTGTAGTCTCACCTTAAACCAGGGATTCCTGCGGTTGGTATGTGGTTTTAGCGAATGGTAGTATGCGTCAAAGTGTGCGAGGTACGGCGAGCGGATACGGAGCGTGAGAGACTGGTGTGCGACAGGCTCGAGACCGGCGACGACGTCGCGTCGGTCTGCCCACCCGTCACTGGCCACGAGGCGCAGCGGCGGGTGCCGGGCGCGCGCCTGCCCCGCCAGCAGCGCGCGAGCAGTGCGGCCCTCACACCAGCAGACGGCCACGCGCGGCCCGCGCGCCAGCCGCTGCAGCGCTGCATCTACTTCACTCATGGTCGGTGCAGCGCGTAGTGCTTCTTCGTGCGCTACGCACACGCCACCTCTCGCTGCTTCCTCGCGGAACGCTGCCATTCCGCTTTGACCGTAGCTCTCTGATTTAAACCGACATCAAGTTTTTTCTTTGGATCCTCTTCATTTATTTGAATTTTATAGAATACTAGCTTTTGCCCGCGACTTCGTCCGCGTGGTAAAGTTACTTTGAGCAGCATTTCTAACGAATATTTATTAATTATATCGTGTAAAATACCTGAAATAAAGTTTCATCCCCTATTTTACCCCCTTGAGGATGGAATTTATCAAAATCTTTTCTTAGGGGATGCCTACGTCATAATTGCTTTATGCATGCAAAGTCTCAGCCCGATCGGTTTGAAATTGACAAAGTTTCATACAAACTTTCGTCCCCTATTTTATCCTCATGGGGGTAGAATTTATCAAAATCCTTTCCTTGCGGATGCCTACGTCATAACATCTACCTGCATGCCAAATTTCAGCCCGATCCGTCCAGTGGTTTGGGCTGTGCGTTGATAGATCACTATGTCAGTCAGTCACTTTTGCGTTATATATAATTAGATCGAGAGTATCAGACGTTGAAGTACATAATAACATGTGTCCGATCATATATAAATTTTCTTTAACAGGTTATAAGTATCGAAACAAACTTTTAGGTATTTCGAATTTACAGTATGGTACTTGTCCGATTTAAGAGAAGTTTACTTTAGGAGTAGCTAGATGGCGTAGTGGAAAGCACCGGGGCGCGCCATCGTTGTCGTTAAGCAACTTTCGCAAGGGTCGGTCACGGGACGGGTGACCAAAAAATTGTTATCTCGAGCTACACCGTGCTTCGGAAAGCACGTTAAGCCGTTGGTCTCGGCTGCATTTGCAGTCGTTAATACCCTCCAATCAGCATTGGGCCAGCGTGGAGGATCATGGCCCATCCTCCTTAACCATTCATAAGGAAGGCCTGAGCTCCTGCAGTGGGGACGAAAAAGGGCTGATGATGATGATGATTACTTTAGGGCTCTAACCGTCAGTATGTACGGCATGAACATAGGTCCAGTTGTGCGCCCGCAACAGCTGCACCATGAGGCGTGCTTGGTGCAGGTCTGATGGCACCACCCGAAAGAATGTTGAAAACCGCGCGCGGTCAGACAGCTCACGAGATGTCGCCGAGTACGATACCTGCTACATAATAATACGTTTATTTTATCGTTTTCCAACATGACTATTATATTTGGCAGCGATTTTGGTCCTTTTTTCAAATCAAGCAGATCATAAAGATAATTTTGTTTCGTCAGCTTATTTTTATTTTAAAGATTATTTTTAAGAGTGATTGTAATACTAATAAAAATACCTCAAAATTATCTTGATCAAATCGGCCCGTTCGTTTCTAAGCTAGGATGATATAAAATGAAAAATAACTGAAAATAAAGTAGCTGCTTCGTTTTAGTAAAGGAGCTCCTAAACTTTTTATCGTCAGGCGTAAAAAAGACCCCATTGCTGTAATCGCAAATACATTGGCATCTGTTGTATTTATTTCTTCTATATAAAAATTCCATGCCACAAAACTTATATGATGGGAATTTGTGACAAAATATAATATACAAGGTTAGGGTAGGTTACACACAGCAGGGGTGCGAAGTCTGGCAACCTCCTCGTGGTGCACCCTGGGCAACGTGGCCGCTCGAAGTATCTTTAAACCGCCGCGGCTAATGTCAGACGACGCGAGGGCGACGGAGTTTACTCCGTCCACGCGCGAATACGCGCGAGTGTGGGCTGGACGGGCGCCCTGCGTATCGCGGGAAGCGGCCGTGCCAGCGAGTCGTTGGAACGCGCATAGGGGGGTGGTAAGACCCTTCTGGGTCGCGTTTGGGGGTTTCCCTCTTTGAGGGAGTCTCGTGAGGATGGGTTCCGCGTCGGCGTCCTGACCTTATGTCGGGTAGCGGCGGCGCGGTCCGGGCTGGATGGGCGCCCTGCGTATCGTGGGAAGCGGCCATGCCAGCGAGGCAACTCGTAACTCCACACATGGTGTGGAGTCGAGGGCTGCTGTTCGTTAGAACAGGTGCCGAGAGGAAGACAACCTCTGTAAAAAATCACCCATGGGGGAATGGGTGGTCTCCCAGAGGAGGGTCCGCCTGAAGAAGGTAATAGAAGACAACCGGCCCGGCTAGCCGTGGGTGTTAAACGGTATCATGGCGACGCCGATTGTCGGGGATGTAGGAGCGTCGTGGGTGGTTTTAGTCGGTAGGCCATTATGGAGAGTCCGATATAACCCATCGGTTCCCCCATAGCCGATGGGTATGCGTAACGCATTTCCCCCACATTAAAAAAAAAATAAAAAAATTACCAAATTTCATTATGAACTTGAATCAATATTTGTGTAACCTGATGTGTTCTATGTACATACATGTTACGGTTAAGATCATACGACCTGAGGAATAGAGAACAGCTGCAGTAGGTTCTGTACTTGCATGGCGGCGGAACTGGCGCCGGGGCCCAGCACACCTAGCAGTGGGGCTCTGCCACTGCTAATGCTCCTACTGCCACCTAACGTGCCAGGGCCCTAAAAGAAGACAATTGTTGCGTGGCACCTTCGATGTTTATTCGTTGATCAAAGTACATCACCACGTCGAATGAGGTACAAGTTCTGAGAGTCATCTACCAGATTACTTTATAGATTTATAAAGTAATCTGGTAGATGTTTACTGTAATGTATAATTTACAGTTAACATCTACCAGATATAAAGGAGTTATTTATTGCACAAAAGAGATATATCAGGTCGATTTGTTACATAGCACCAGACGTATTTTATGAAACCTATTTCCAATCTCTGAACATTTTAGCTTTCCCAAGACTTAACAATTTTGTGGTGGCGGTATTCGTTCATCAGAATTTTTAAAAAGTTTACAAAGGTGTGCGATATATGCGAAACGTCCAGGCGCCATCCACATAGATTGGTATTGGAAACTGTCCCAAAAACAAAACGATTCTTAAAGAATTGTACCGCTGTGTGACAATATATCTACAATAAATACCATTACAATTTAAAGATACGAGTACAATTTACAATTTAAAACAAAAAAAAAACTTCCTTAAGCAGTTTAAAAGATTGTTACTTCGATGGCTGTTGAACCATACCTTATGTACAGTGGAAGATTTCGACCACAACTACACAAGGAATAGCGTAGTTGTGGTCGATGTACAGTTTAATTAAATGTTTTAATAATAAATAATTAGCAATGTACAAGTTGACAATTAACTAATTGATAGTTAGTGAATTGTCAGTAATTGAATTATATACATTTAATATCCTTATTATTTATTTAAAATGGACATTTTTTAAAATTTAGTAGAGCTGACATTTGCATGCTATTGTCATAATATGAACACAATTATTGAACACAACCATCCACTTCATTGTAATCTATTCCTATTTATGGCAAATAAAGAGTTATTATTATCATGTTCTCTCCTAATAAAAGTTACTTAAAAATTTAAGGAATATATCCAGCCAAAATTAAATTAAACTAGGGCGTATCAACATGCACTTGCTCAATTAGTGTAACCAAGAGCTTAGTCTGTAGAGTTCTCTCGTGGTGACGGGTGACGGGTGACGGACGGAGGGGGTCGCGTCACGTCACCACTACCTACGGGCGATCTCACGTCTTACACACGACACGACATGACCTACTAATTTCTAAAGTTGGATCCCTATTTTTACATTTACTCTTGTCTGATGTATTTATTCTATTATTTTGTACCAGTGTATAGCCATGTGTCTTTAAGATACCCGATCTTCAGTAAACTCGATTAATACTAGTTGAGTTCGTTCTTCTGGAAATGCTTAATTACATGATTTGTGCAATGTTTTTTTTACTTATTATATATATCGCACACCTAGATCTAAACTAAGACAACTCAAAAACCTAATGTGGAGGTTTGACAATACATTTGTTTACGTGACAGGAGCGCGACCACTGTTGATTCGACAAAAGAAAGCTAAAGTTATCTAGCGGCTCATCCCCGAACCTTTATTGAAGCTGTTATGTTGGATACATGCGTATGATCACCGAGAATTTGAATATCGTACAAAGTCAAAACTCGCTCAAATTTTTGAGTTGTCTCAGTTTAGATCTAGGTGTGCGATATCTTAATCAATATAACTTATTTACTCTATCGCAACTTGTCGAAATTTACAAATATATAGCTCACTGAACTGCTGTAGGTTTTCAAAGTTTTACTTTGTAATTTTGGCTGTGACCGACCATTTAGAGATATTATTAAGTTTTTTCATTTTTTATGAATTACAGATTACAATATTTTTTGGAATAAAACCAACTGAAATTTAGTCATTTTGGTTGTACACGCCCTCTTACAACAACTTCAATCAATAAACTACATGTGGTTGCTGGTACTTCTGATTTATCCCAACAACGCACATTTTTACTGTCTCACCTGACTACAATTGGCTGAAATTTGGTTGCGAGTGTGGTCCGCATCGTCGGCAGTCTCCGCGGGCGTGATGGCGTCACGCACCAAGTCTATGGTCTGCCGCAGCGCAGTCGGTGGGGCCCAGCACGAGTCCCGCAACTCGGCGCCGAGCGCTACGCCCTGCAGCAGTGACGCGTCCGCATTGATCGCGTCGAGCGCGAGCAGCGTCGCCTCCACGCGCTGGATGCCGTAGTGCTCGCGCACCGCCCCACAGCGCGAACCAGCGCGTGCCTCCACCGGCGCCCCGTGCACTGCGAACAGCGCACCGAACCGCACCTTAACCGACATTACCAAAAATCAAATTAGTATAATTATAATAAGTAATAAAACGTTTATTGTCTAGTATTGTCGTAGTTAATAAAATTTATGTTATGAACGAACTAAGATTAGGATACTCAAACGTTTCCTTGGATATTTAACAAACTTCCATTTATGCTTATAATTCCGTACACACCTCGCCCACTACGAGTGCGCGCTCCCCGCTGTTGGTCGCCGTGGCTGTGTCCGCCAGCATCACAGCCGCCACCGCCGCCACCGCCGCCAGCGCGCCTGTCACACGCGCCGCCATTCCGGCAACGCAATCATTTGCAAATGCCGCAAAAACTTTAACACTTGCGCAGAAACAAAGCATCAATGACCGTACAGCGGGACGAGCAGTCTTACGTTGATTTAAATTAAGACACTGCTGAGCAATTCATTCACAGAAAAAAAAAATCGTTCATTAAAGTTAAAATGCATCTTATCGATGTCTTAAGTAGCATCGCACCCTTGTTTAAGCGCTTAATAAGGTGTTAATTACCACAATGGCGGATCTTACACAACTGATCAGTTAGCAATCGTACCTATATATTTTTTAATTTGTAAAATGCTTTTTTGAAATATCGATGTTTATATATTATATATAGAATATATATATATATATATGTACGAGCAAACCCGTACATTTCTATATGTATCAATAATATGCTAACGTCGGCGCTGCGCGCAACTCGACACACGTTTAATAAATGTTAATATAACTTAGTAGCAATAAATTACTCATTCGAACAACACAATTTTATCATTTTATCATATCAATTATTTTCCGGGACAGTTTCGGGAATTTATCATATCAGTAATAATCATCTAAAGGTGTCTCCAACAATATATATATAGAATATATATAGAATATATATATATATAGAATATAGAAGTGAAAAAATATATAATTACATTCCTTTTGACCAATAAATGGAGCTCCGTATAATTTGAATGGGTCCTGACTGTTGATCCTTCTATTCTGCTTTTGAATTTATGATATGTTTTATGTGAGTATATATTTTAAAACTATTTCAACGGAACAATTACTAAACTAAACTACTAGGCTTGTTTTTCTTTCTAGTTTTCAGTGAAAGTAATGATAAATGCTTTTCACTTCTTTCTTTTTCATATTTTTTTATATGACAGGTAGTATTGAAGATAGTTGCATATATCATTTACATCATCCTTTTTATACAGCGGTTTCACAATTGCCACTTTCAATCTTTCAGGTTCTTTTTCTGTCTGTAGAGACAAATTTATCATAAATGGTAGAACATTGCAAATTATATGCGAAGTTTTAAAACTGAGTAGAAATATGCAAATTATATTTCTACTCAGTTTTAAAACTTTGATGTATATAGAATCATAGCCTTCAGAATGTGATTTTTTTTAAGGTCATTATTAATTTGCTTATTTCATTTGCTGTTACTGGTGCTAGAAATATAATATTATGCATAACTGTTTTTAGATAAATAATTTTATAATTTTCATTTTTTGTCAACATTTACTGTATTATATTTAATAATTTTTTTTAATAAAAATTTATGCCATTGTCATTAGGTTCGTATTTATTTATCTACTATGGTTCAATGTTTCAGTTTTTTCATTCTTTGTAACCTTCCATGTTGCTTTACAGATGTTGTTACCATTGTTAATGATTTTTTTATTCGCAATCTTTTTGGAATAATCAATACTTCTTTTTTTTTATTTATTATCTTTATTTTATGTGTTATCTGTTTTTATTAGTATAATACTTATAACGAAGTTTCCTTTTTTGTGATGCAACTTATTTTTTAATCCTCGTGAGGATCTCACTGTAGTTTAAAATAAGAATTTTGTTTTATTATTATTACTGGAAAACACATATTATATAAAACAGTGACGATGTCGTGGAATTCATTGAATGCTATATTTATATATTTTTCATTGAATACATTTGCAAACGATATGCTACTTAAATATGTTGGGAATTTATTTATATTTTCTACGGAGTAGCATTTATGGTAAGCTTACACAGTTTGGAATTTGATTTTATGATGCACAGAAAATTTCAAGACCTGAGCAGTATCGTGAGCTGATAACCATAAAGGCAAAACATAGTCAATCCCACTGTCAATATTACATATTATTAGATCAAGGCATGCGCCACCCCTAGTGACAACCGTTATATGCGAGGTTACGTTATATTTTTTAAGAATGTCAACGTGTGTGAAATGTGGAATTGTTTTGATTATATTCTAGTATATTTATATTAAAGTAGCCAGTTACAATTATACTTTTTAGGAATTTGTTTAGACATCTGTATAGTAGCATATCTATTTTATCCAAAATATAATCCATATGACGTTTTAGTTTAGTTAGATGGTATCCTATATATCACGGGTTCCAAACTTATTTTGTCTATTGCTCACTTAGATAAAAAAAAAGTATTTTTAGCAACCCATTTTTTACCTACTTAAAACCACTATAACTTCAAATTTAATTATTGTGAGCGATATATGAGCAGATTAAATATTCATTATAAACGAGACTTTTACAACGACCCATAAAAGTTTACTTAAGACCTGGAAGACCTTGAACTTTTCCTAAGCTACATCCCCGTGTCTCTTACTCTCCACCTTAGGTCATAGTGAATAGGTATTCTATCTCAGACCACTGATATATAAGACTCTGGCTGTCACCGGAAGCTGGCATGGACATACCTTCTCCATTTAGAATTTAATAAGGAGATCGCCGAGGAGGCTGCTGTCCAGGCCTGGGCCAGCAGGCTGAAATGTACCCTCACTGTGTTATAAACCTAACACATCAATTCCCAGGGTAAGAGAGGTGTCACCCACAAACATGGGTATTGGTGGTCTGATGAGTTGAGCACTCTTTGCGACAACACATACCGGGCCAGGCGGACCTTACTTATTTTATTTATTCTTTATTGCATTTAAACACAATAGGCGGACTTAATGCCAAAGGCATTCTCTGCCAGTCTACCAGTAACAGATGTTGGAGTCAGGATGTTAGGCGATAAGAATAAAAAGCAAAACACAAAAAAAAAAAACAGTGGCCATAAAATTATTACAACAAACAAATTGATAAAAGCATAAAACTATATATACCAAAACAAATATAAATGTAAATATAGGTAAAATATAAATATATATATATATAAAACAAAAAATAGAATACAGAACGCATATGAAATAATTATATATGAAGATAGTGCTCATGCACCAATCTCTTAAAAACCATTCTACTCTGAGCAGTTTTAATATGAGCTGGGAGAGCATTCCAAAGGCGAATAGCTGTCAGAGTAAAGGATTTGGAAACAAAATCAGTATGATGAACGGGAGTTTGTAGAATGAGGTTGCTACTAGAGCGAAGATCACGTTGATGACTGGAACCAAGATATTGAAATCTAGACTTCAAATATCCAGGGGTACATGGATCGTAAAGTATTTTGAAAAGCATACAGACAACTCGCAAGTTCCTGCGTTGGTGGATAGTTAACCATCCGAGTAGTTTTCTGTATTTAGAGATGTCAATGTACTTACGAGGGCCAAATATAAACCGAATAGAGCTATTAAGCAAACGATCCAATTTGTTGAGAAGAAATTGACTAGAGTCAGAATAACAGACATCAGCGTAGTCGAGAAGCGGGAAAACAAGGGTCTGTACTAATGCAATTTTGGTGCTATATGGGAGAAAGAATTTAAGTCTATATAGTGATCTAAGCGTATTCACAACTTTACGACACACTTCAGCAACCTGCACCTCCCAGTTGAGAGAACAATCAATGTGAAGACCTAAATTTTTAACACTGGATTGAAACGGGATGACTTGTCCATTATACAGCAGGGGAGTAACAGTATTCATGTCAATAACCGACAATTGACGTGAACTGCCTATAATAATACTTTGGCATTTTGTTGTATTTACTGCCACGCCGTAACTTTTTGACCAATCCAAAACGCTTATAAGATCTTGATTGAGGCACAGAATAGCGTCGTTAATGTGGTTCTTGTCTGCCTGAGCATATATCTGAAGATCGTCTGCATATAGACGATAAGAAGTTTGAAGTCGTGTAGTAAGAGAGTTAATAAATAACGAGAAAAGAAGAGGAGAAAGTATACCGCCTTGTGGGACACCGGCAGTCAAATCAAGCCAATCAGAAGTTTTCTGATTAACTCGCACAGCCTGTCGGCGTCCACGAAGATACGACGAGAACCAAGCCTGAGCTGTAGAAGAAAGTCCAATGTGAGTAAGGATGGTAAGAAGAATCTCATGGTTAACAGAGGTGAAGGCGTTAGAGAAGTCTATCAGAACCATAATTGTAAGCCTCGAGTGTTCCATGTCATGCCGAATGTCCTCTAAGATATTAAGAAGAGCAGTAGAAGTACTATGTCCGGGACGAAAACCGGACTGAAAGGGACTCAATAACTTCAGTCGGGACACATATGATGAGAGTTGGTTATGAACATCAGCCTCTAAAATTTTGGACAGAAAGGGAAGAATAGAAATGGGCCGGAAATGGTTTGGAGTCGAAGGATTAGATATTTTAGGTAGTGGGAGAGTGAAGGAGTTTTGCCAAGTGGTAGGAAATTTGCCAGAGGAGATAGAGTAGTTTAGAATAAAGGTAAGTACAGGAAGGACACAGTCAAGTATGAGCATGACCATTGTTCTACCAATATCATCGTCGCCCACATCTTTGGATTTGATGGATACTATGACCTTACGGACAACTTCTTCAGTTAAAGGCTTGAAAGAGAAAGATTCGGAATGAGAAGGAGTCGTGGAAGTAATAGAAGATATAGTAGAATTAACAATAGAGTCAGAAATAGGGGCAACAGATGTGAAATGCTTGTTAAGTTCATCCAGCGAGCAAGATGAACTAAACCGAGTAGGCCTTTTACCGAAACCCAAAGAACGAAGAAACTTCCACGTATCGGCAAGATTAGAATTTACAATATTGTTATGAAAGTATTGGCGTTTTGCGGCTCTTACCATCATATTGCAGCGATTCCTGGCAGATTTAAAAGCGTTCCAGTTAAAATCAGTGCGGCATCTTTTGAAAGCACAGAAGCACTTATTGCGTCGTCTCATGGCCATACGCACACCAGGAGTCATCCATGGCGCTGGGGGTCTCCTCACTTTAACGTGCTTTTTAGGCGAATGTTTATCGAAAATCTGTAGGACCAAATTATTAAATAGATTCACCATGCTTTCGACAGAAGTTGATTCGCGAATAGGAGTCCAGTCAATAGCACACGCGTCCGC